TGCTGACGCGGCAGGTTCGGCCGATCGCGGCCCCCACTCGCTGCGGTTCGCCGTCCCGGGCCAATGGGGGCAGCAAGAAGCGGCGCAGGCGAGGGATGTGCTGGCTGCGGCTTCCCGCCGCCCCCATTGGCCCGGGACGGCGAACCGTGGCCAGTGGGAGCCGCGATTGGCCGAACCTGCCGCGTCAGCAGGTAAATAAACTGGCCCGGCCCGCTAGGGTGCTTACCCTGGCGAGCCGCGTGCCAAATGTTGCCGACCCCTGGACTAGACAGATGTGATTGGCAGGGATGGTCTTGATAATACTAGCCCTACCTCAGTGCAGGGGACTGGACTAGATGATCTATTGAGATCCCTTCTGTGACAGTGTACCCCATAAGGCTTTATGGAGGGTGCTTTTAAATGTATGTATGATATAACTGGAATAGGTTTTTGCTACATATGCCAGGTAACATATCTATGTAAAGGTTATGATCTACTGGTTATGTTCATCCTAGTTGTATGCAGGCACCATTTGTGTGTTCAAAGTTATGAACATTGGCTGTATAATTGCTAAGTAGCCTTAGATTTCTAAGTAGCCTTAGTTAGAACATTTGGTCACTTCTTGGGAAAGGAATGTGCAAATTAGGTGCTCAATCAGGAAGCACTTAACAGACAAAAAAGCTTGGAAAACTCCAATCCACATAAGAAGTCTACCTAAGGACGTTCAAGGTGGCATGTGGGTAATAGCTACTACCTGCAAGTCCTGAGTCATGCATGGGCACGTGACTTGCCCATGTGATTCCGAATCTCCATTTTGTGACTGGATTCTACACAGGGTGAGGAGGGGGTCTCCACCCACAAGAGAAAGTCTATTTAAACCCATGGGAGACTCCTCCATTTGGTCTTCAGCTGGCTAAAGAAGGAGCCTCTCCACCCCCCCAGGATACTTGAAGGAAACTGGAACAAAGGACAGTAACTACAGGGGGTGTGAGTGATTGCTGGACCCAGGCTAAAAGGAGATTAGCCTGTAAAAGGGAGCATTCTGGAACTGGTGAGGATCTTATCTGTATTTAGTTTGATTAGACATAGATTTGCGCATTTTATTTTATTTTGCTTGGTGACTTACTTTGTTCTGTCTGTTACTACTTGGAATCACTTAAATCCTACTTTCTGTATTTAATAAAATCACTTTTTACTTATTAATTAACTCAGAGTATGTATTAATACCTGGGGGAGCAAACAACTGTGCATATCTCTCTATCAGTGTTATAGAGGGCGAACAATTTATACAGGGTAAAACGGATTTATTTGGGTTTAAATCCCATTGGGAGTTGGGCATCTGAGTGCTAAAGACAAGCACACTTCTGTGAGCTGTTTTCAGGTAAACCTGCAGCTTTGGAGCAGGTAATTCAGACCCTGGGTCTGTGTTGGAGCAGACAGGAGTGTCTGGCTCAGCAAGACAGGGTGCTGGAGTCCTGAGCGGCAGGGAAAACAGGAGCAGGGGTAGTCCTGGCACATCAGGTGGCTGCACCCAAGGGGGTTTCTGTGATCCAACCCGTCACACCTTCCAGGTCTACATTTCTATGATTCTATGACTGCCCAGGGTTTTACCTTATTAGGTAGCTATGGTTAAGTCCTGTCCACACTACAAATTCTAATCAAGCAGTAAGTAGATCTGAACTATACTGAAACTAGGCCTCCTCACTCGTTACAGGGCCCAATACTCCTCTCCTCTCTAGATTCCTCCTGGAGCCGGTCATTTATAAAAACAGATACTACATTTTCTTCTGAAGCCATGGGCTGTGCATTAAAAGAGCCAAGTCAAGAGCTCCACTCCCAGCCCTCTTTCCCTGGATACCCAGTCACCCTCTTCCCTGGCTGTTGCGCTCAGACCCCCTAACAGCAAAACATGGGCTCACTTTAAATGGCAGATTGCTCTGATGTGAGCCACTATGTGACAACTTCTGTAGGCTCAATGTGGGCTTGAGATTGGCTGGCAAGAGCTGTAGGAAGAACAGCTGATTATAGCAGCAGTAGTATTAAAGGCAGTGCTCAGTGCACAGCAGGAATACTTGCAGAAGAGGGAGTAAACAGCCTGTTAACAGAATCCTACTGAACAGGGAGAGATGGCAAACACCACTAAGGACAGAAAAATAATATTAAAAGGGACCTAGAGAGATTAGCAATACAAGCAGAAAACAACAAAATGTATTTCAGCTCAGGAAAATGCAAGTTATCATCACTAGAGAATACCACTTCAACATATTCTACCCATATTAAACCAACTTCTAGGTTTCCCAACATAGATTCTTTACCAGTGTTGCACTAAAGATCAACACTATAATCAACTTCACACAAGCATCAGTGCTTTCCCCGGATACTATTCATCAGCTCAGGAAAAGTTATTCTTAGAAAGAAAAGAAAGAAAGAAAGAACTTTCCTTCCTCCAGAATTCACTAGTAAAAATGGGAGCTGTGCTTTACAGCCCATTCTTAAAGCTCTCTACAAGCAGGTTCCCGCAGCATCAGTTTGGCAGTAGGGTAAGCTACAAATGTTGAACTTCTAACAATAGTCATTTTAGTCTGTTTTAGAAATAAAGCAGGACCCTGTGCATATGGTATAGAACTTGAACTCGTAAGCTAGCTTCAAGACAACTTCATATTTTCCTGAGGGATATGAGTAAGACTGAGTAACTGGTTGAAAACTTCCTACTTGCACCAACTCACTGCTTCCAAAGTTATTTCCTCTATCCCATTGTTAAAATAAAATACATTGCTGTACGCCATTACCGATTCCCATGGTACGTCACTGATCCGTGTGACTTTATGAGAGGCCTGGCTGTTGCTCAGTAATGTAACAGCACGCAGATGAAAGTTTTCTGGCTTAAAAACTGGATTGAGGTTCTAATGCCCTGTTTTTTCATGTTGAATAACTAGTTATGTTGGGCCACAGAAATGCAACTGCAGAATTCCTTTGATTTCCCTGTTCTGTATGTCTCAACAAATCAGAGATTGATGAGCTTTCTTCTTTTTTGGCTATGGATCTTGACAACAGCTAGAGTGACCATATTTCCCAAAGGGAAAATGGGACACCACACAGGGCTGACCTGAGCCCCCCACCCCAGCCGCTCTCCAGAGCCCCCCGCAGAGCTGGCCCCGGCTGCTTGGTGGAACCCTGTTGCCCACCCCCCCAGGTTGCCACTGGTCGCTCAAACCCCACCAGCCTCCCCGCATGCTGGAACCCTGCCTGCCCCCCTGCGCAGGGCTGGCATCTCCACTTCCCCACCCCCAAAAGTTCCTCTGACCACGCTGCACCCCACTTTTTTGACAAAAAAAAAGTCGGGACGGACGGGACAGGGCTTAAAGAAAGGGACTGTCCTAGCCAAAATGGGACATTAAGTGATCACCCTAGCCGTCACATCTGCACTTGGTAAGGAGCTGGTGGAGATCCACAATAAAGTTAACATAAGTGGAAGGAAGCATGAGCATATGGGATGACATTGGACTCGCAATCAGGAAATCTGGGGTCAGTTCTCAGCTTGGTAACAGACTTCCTGTACAACTGAGGGCAAGTCATTTCATCTACCTGTGCCTTGGCTACCCACCTAAATAATAATAAAGTGAGTAGATTTTCTACAAGCTTTTATTCCAAGCAAAGTCCAACGCACATAAGATCCAGTTACCAGGGTGTTAGTCTAACACAAAGGACACTGGATTCTAAGTGTTCAAGTCTCTCAGCCAAATAAACACATAGAAGCAGCAACGGAAGAGAGATTCAAATGCAATCAGCACCTTTTTGATCCAAAATTAAGAAATGGTCGTAAGCTTTCCTCCTCAAAAGGTTAAAGCAATAGCTGTGCTAACTCACCTGATCAGTCTCTTTATTTTTAAAAATATAGACCAGTGATTACATCAGCCGGTGCATTGGTCCCTTCAGTTAAGATAAGCTCATCCCAAGCTGGATCCTTGTATGAACCTGACAAATCTTGCTCAGATAAGAAATTGTCAGTCCTGCTGGCAAGGTGAGCAATGTCAGCCTTAGTAAGATTTCCACTAGGCACCACATGAGAGTGGGGGAGGGTACGTCATTAGATCAGTTGCTGCTGGAAAAAGGGAGAAGAATTTTTCTGCCCCAGCCCCGTTAAGTCAGTACTGTGCATCAGCCCCTAAGCGTATGTGATTTTCCTGCATGAAGCCTGAGGTGATCTCCCTGCTCACTATCACCACTGGCCATCATTGTGGCCAGAGCAGGAAATACAATATTTGGGTTTCCTCTTTTTAAAAGAAATTTGGGTAAATAGAGTAACAAGAGTAAAGTGCCTGCTCCTAATACAGTCAATGGCAAAGCTCCCCTTTAATTCAGTGGTGCAGCACGGGGCCCATAGTTTTAGTTTGCTACTTGTTTCCGCTAAACAAGTTAATCATGATCCCTGTACATGATCCCTGTACATGATCCCTAAACAAGTTAATCATGATCCCTGTACAGCTGTTACATGCTGTTCATCACTACAATAAAACAAAATCTTAAACCACTTTAGTAATGTTAGATTAAGATACTGTATTTTTGCCTGACCTGAAAAATAAAACATTTTTTTAAAAATTGCTGGTAACACAGAGAGAGTTTTAGGTTGTGAGTGGGTTTAAAAGAAACCCATTAAAATTATTCTCTTCCTGAGACTCTGAAAGTGACTAATACAATAGAATCACAACGAGCCTTGAGTGTCTAGTTGTAAAAAAAAATAAGTGAGGGTATCAAAAAATCGGGGAATTTCCATCTATCCAAAATCATTATTATTCTCAAAATGTTGGTAGAACAGGTAAAGCCCAGACTACCGCCGTGTGCATGCAGTGTACTCTGACACAGGATTAAACAACCTGGCCCACAGGTATATTCTAAGAAGCACTGATAGCGATTGCTCTCCATCCCCCCTTCAGCACTTGCTCCAGTTACACTGCTTATTTAAGTGCCTTCAATCTGTGTATACACACACCCGTCTAGTCCTCCTCACACAAGTGCAGACGCTGCCAGCAGAGAGGCGCACGCAAGAACATTTTTCACACTGACACTGCTCCCTGGAGTCTCAGACTAACCAGGTCCGGCAAAATATGGAGAGAGAGAGAGAGAAGCTTGTCCCCCTCCGCTGAAACTGACAAGGAGAGTTTTGCAATTGACAAGTGATGAAACTGACCCGTTGCTACCCCGACTCCCTCCCCTCAGTGCCGCATCAGATCTACTCCCCGGCTTTGTTTCTTTTCCACCCCAGACGGAGCTCTGCAGGGCAAGCTGGCAAGGTAACAAAGCAAATGACAGACCTTCTCTCTCGCCTCTTCTGTGCTGGGGAGGGAGCGTTTCCTCGCCCTGCCTTTGCCTGGCGCCGCTTGGCAGGAGGAGGCGAGCACCACAGAGGCTTCCTCAGGGATGCTCCAGTTTCTTTGCTGGCTCTCTCTTGAGGCGTTGCAGGATCTCGGAGGGCTCATCGGCTCCACATTGCTCGGGCCGGTGGGATTCTTTATTTTCCAAAAAAAAAAATTATCTATATTATTATTATAATATATTCTGGGGGCTTGTGGTTCCTGCAGCCAGGCGGAAGTGAAACCCTTCCCCCTCCCTCCTTCCTCTGAGCTCAGCCCAGCAGAGACGGGGTAATTCCCAGGCACCGCGCCGAAGGGCAGGCGAGCGGGAGCCTGCCAGGGTGGGGATGTGTGTGTTTCAATCCGCACACGGGGGGCACAGCCGATTGCAGGGTGTGTCCTGCAGACAGGGCACTACGGAACCAACAGCGCCTCGGGCGTTATTCACAGGAGCCGGTTCCAAGGCAGCCAGGCACGTGTCCCCCGGTCCGCAGGGGCTTGCGGGTCCCGCTCCCCTACCGCCTCCTTCGGCGGAGGCGGCGTGTGGCGAGCTGCACTGAAGCCCCTGAGCCGAGCCCCCTGCAGGGGCGGGGAGGGGGATGTTCCTCTGCCGCTTTCAGTCCATCCTCCGCCTTTCACCCCAGCCCCAGTGCGGCAGGCGGGGGAGGAGGAGAGAAGCCAAGGGGGGGGAGGGGGCTGTCGATCTATGTCACCCCCCTGCCCTGGGTAAAGTATCCCCAAGGGATTGGGGGGGGGACTTGGGGCTCTTTTCGCACCCCCCGCTACCTGCCGGCTGAGCTCCCAGCCTGAGTGGGCAGGGGAGGGCGGTTTCCCTTCTCCACCCCATCCAGGACGTAGGGCCCCGTTTCTGCCCCGCTGCAGCCCGCCAGGCGAAGAGCAGGCACCGCTCCCCGCGGCCCCGCGGAGCAGGTGCACAGCCCAGCTGCCGCGCCGGGGCTGCCTGTTGGCAGGGCCGGGGAGACGCAGCGATCCTGGCGGCTGCTCCCACAGCGGGGCCGGGCGCATCTCAGCCAGACAGCGGGATTCCCCCGGCCGCAGCCTGCTCTGAATAATAAAGGAGCGGCCCAGGCGTGAGGCGCGGAGCTGAAAGCACAAACCGTAGATCGGGAGGCTGCAAACGCTTCCCGGCTGCTTAACTGCGCTTTGAGTTGTCCCGCTGCCCCCTCTCTGAGCAAAGTGAAGAGCCCGGTTAGGACTTTAAGCCTCAGGACACCCCTGTGACTAGGTATTGAAACAACAAGTGGAGATTGTCGTTAGCTGTTTGACAAAGGTCAGTCGCTTTTTCTTATGTCCTGGAGATATTCTCTCGTACAAGTAGGCTGGGTGACAGGCTGTTAGAGAGGAAAAACACACTCTTCTCCCTGTGTGTGTCTGTGTATATACATAACTGAGAGAGAATCATTGATAGGAAGGGCAATTTTCAAACAATTCATGATTAAAATATAAATCCATCTACCTCTTGCTAATTCTTTGTATGGTTTCTTGGGTGTTTGTTTTAGATTCACAGGTAATTTTCTCCAAAAAATATATATGATAGTGTCTAGGGACCACCCAGAAGAGGGCTCCCATGTGCTAGGTACTATACAAACACACAGAGAGGCAGTTCCTTCCCCAAAGAGCTTCAGTCTAAATAGACAAGACAGACAAACCGATGGGGGAGGGGTAGATACACACAGCAGAATGTTTAATGATATGGCTGCAAACTAGATGTTAATTGTACAATCAACCACAAACTATTGTACATATTCAGACACATTTGGTGCTATATTTCATTGTTTCAGTGTGTTCCATGAAGAGGGAAGAGGCATCTATCTGCAACCAAGGCACCCAAATACCCCTGAAAATCTGGGTTACATTTTCAGAAACACCCAAGAGACCCATCCTCAGAAGTGACCCAGGAGCCCACATCTCATTGAAAGTCACTGCAACAGGGTCATCAAAGGATCAAACTGCTTTATAGAACAGTGTTACATACTCTGCATATACATTTTATGTACAAACGTGTGTAGTGTTTTAGATAAACAGTTCAGATGTCTGTTCTTGGCCCTGATCCTACTTCTCCTAGCAGTAAAGTTAAGTGATTAATTCTTCTGTGCCTACTATGCTTTCCCTTGCGAAGCAGCAAGTTAGAGAAGTTGAAAGAGATTCAGTTACATGCAATTACTGTAATAGTATAGGAGGAAAGATTGTAAAATACAGCTAAATACAATACCTTCTGCTAGCTCCTGAGTGACATCCTGTGGTGCAGTTGCTGCATGACCCATTCATTTGTACCATTTACTTGGGGCCTAATTCTGCAAGCACTTGAGTGGTAACTTGACTCCCTCGAATTGTCTCATTCACTTAAGCTGCTGGGTGCTCAGCATTTGGAAAATCAGACTGTTTACTCAGGTGCCTAAATGAGTATTAGGTACCTAACTTTAGGCTCCTATTTTGTCCTCTGTTTTATGCCATTCACAGACTGCTCAGTTTCCAAAAATTATTGGCACCCACATTCCATAGTGACCAGCACCTTATAAATATGCAGAACCTCACACAGTATGTTATATTTCAACTGGTTTTATGCATACGCTGAGGAGCAGAAGCCGAAAGGGAGAGATGCTAACTGATCCGCCAACCACAGCAGACACATACTAAGGGTAGGATTCACAAAGATACTTACGCACTTGAGTCCCATAGCAACTCACAAAATTCCGCTCAGCTGCCACCTAGCCCTGTAGGCATTTAAACCCACTCCACCCCTAAGTTTTTCTCCTCTGGGACTGCACGCTCACTATGTGCTTGGATAGCTGCCTTCTGCTTAAGCCCCAGAGCAATTCACAAACCAGGAAAGATAAGTCTTCAGCTGCCCAAGTCACATATGGGGGCCTGATCTGGTAGGCAGGCTCTGATCACACCCTCCCTTATAGTCTTTAGACTACTGGCTAGGGTACTCATTCACTATGTAGAGACCCCTGGCTCAAGTCCTCACTCCTCCTGAGAGGGAGCAGGGATCTGCAGCCTCTCAGGTGAATGCCCTAGCCACTAGCTGTGGAATATTCTGATATGGGTTTCCCTCAATCTCTCCTACTGACGTTGTTCCACCTTAAACAATGGAATACCAAATCATAATTGAACCAGAGAAAGAGTAGCTTACACCGTCCTACCTCACATGATCCAATGAAATATAAGGCAATACAGTGAAGTCAATAGTTACAGCATAAGTGCACAGCGCATCAATCGCCATCTCAGTGACTGATCCAGAACCATCGTTAGGCACTCAGCCTATACCGTCGCTTCAAAAAAGGTAGGGTTTTAACAGTGAGATATCGAAGTCCAGAGTCTGGACATGGACTATGTCTTCCTATAAGTGTGTATATAATAGACTAGTACAGAGGGCTCCAATACTGACCGGTGCCTCTGGATGCTACTGCAATACAAATTCCAAATAATAAAGTGCACACAGTATAAGAGCACTAGTCGTTATGATCATTTATACCTTCCTAGCTATAGAGGAGAACTGAAAGGCCATGAGTGACTAAGCCACCATCCCAGCATACTACCATATATTAAATGTCCATGAGTTCTCTTAAGCGAATGGGGTGGTACTGAATGAGGACAAGTAGCATATGCCAACTGATGACACATGGAAAGTCATGGGCCTCCAATGGCAGGTCATGACAGGGGGCTCATGTTTTGTTTGCCAGTTTTGAAGTGCTGTTTCTTTTTCATTTTCTCAGTTTGGATGTTTTGCTCTGGAATTCAGCAACTGACATTTTATTTACTATTTTTCATACAAAGTCACCATGCATAAAAATTACATTTTTGCCCCACATACTTGCTATAGTATGAAAAGCAATCTGCTGGTAATAAAACAGAAACTAATCCCCAGAGGAAATGAATGTGCTTCGGAACCATGAGCTTACAGAGAAAAAAAACAACAACACTGCTGCATTTGAAATAATGACAAGAAAGTGAACGAAGACTAATTCCTCTCCAAGTGAGGCCATTTTTATATCATGCTACTGATATCCTTAATGAAGAATGATGCATTTATTCACCATCGTGTATTTTTACTTTAGCTCATGCTGTACAATAATAAACATCTGCTTTCTAAGTTAGTGAGTGGAATGATGGGTTAGCTACTCACATTTCCACAGCAGGTCAACTCCTAAAGGTTTGTTCAGGTGCAGCTAGCAGAGTGTTGTACTTGTGGGAAAGGACTGCTCAAAAGTGGAAGTGTTCCAGAGAGTCTTCAGTCCAGCTGGGTTGTTCTCCTGAAAAATCCAGATGAAGGATTCAGAGAAGGCAACCCAGTGTGGGGATCCAAGCAGTGTTACTGTCTGAGTCAAGAAACAAGGCTTAACCTGAAAGCACCCTTTGGCATGAGTCAGTTGTATAAGAGAATGATGGCAAGTGACTGAAATGAGGTAGAAAGCAATGGCGAGATTGCCGACTTTTCACAATCTAACGGAAGAGGGGGGAGATTTTTTTGCCCATCTCTGGACACCAGCTGCAAAAGATGTAATGGGGAATACCATGGTTGCTCTTTCAGGCCCTGATCCTGCAAAACATGTACACGTGCTTATCTTTACTCATTCTTTGTATTACAGTAATTCTTAGAGGCCCCAACCAAGATTGCAGCACCATTGTGCTGAACCACTGTATATACACATATTAAGAGAGAGTCCCCAAAGAGCTTACCATTTAAATAGACAAAGGTGGAGGGGAACAGCACAAAGATTAAGTGACTTGCCCAAAGTCACACATCAGGAGAATGGCAAAGCAAGGGACAGAGACTAGGTCTCCTGAGTCCCAGTCAAAGGGTTTATCCACAGAATCATGCTGCCCCGAGTGTGTTCAGGAAAAGCAAGACCTCTGGGAACTGCCCATGAACAAGTGGGGAAAAGAAGTGTCCATCACAGGGTCCTTATTCAGGCAAATCTCTCACTGAATCATCTTGTAATACTCTTTACATGAGGTTGTTGAAATAACTAGCCAGGAGTCTGGTGTGAGCCAAAGAAATCCTATTGTGAAAGAATAATTTTTTCCCCTCTCGAAAGATCAAAGGGTCCCTAAATACATTTATAGACTACCAAGAGCTCGACAGCATCCCATAACAGGAGACAATTAGATCTGTTGAGGGGGAAAGAAAGTTATTCGTGTCATTTTAAATGTTAGTGAATTTATTGCAGGCAAAATGTGCCAGAGCATCAGCCCTGGAGACTGAAATGCTCAGACTATCCATAGACCATGCACAGCACAGAAAGCAGGAGTGCAGGCTTCTCTGTCACACTGCCCCAGCCAATGTATCTGATACCTGGAGGCACCTGCTCTGGAGGGTGTTGGGAGGGGAAGGGTTCAGGTTCCTTGCCCCATGTAAACATTGTTTTCGCTGAACCTCTTCTAATTTTATTGCACACAGATAAGTCTAAGCATGTTTTCTGTTGCTCTAGGGACTGAAAGTGTTAGCTTACAATATAGAGGCCAGATTCCAGTCTCAGTTACCAGGGTGACACTCCAATCTTACACTGATGTAATTGAGACTGGAATCTGGTCCCCACATTGTAAGTAAACACATTGTCAATGGAGTCACCAGTGCCACAGGTCAGAACCAGGCCCTGTAGGTTTTGATGCATCCTGGAAGCCTGATGACATGCCAATTCACCGATGCTCACTGCTGGTTGTGTTTTTGTAAATGTACGCCATACAGTACAACAACAAGACAACTCAGTTTACTCTTTTCTAATGGTAATTGTTAGTTGGGAACAAAGATCCTCGCCCCCAATGTGTGCGCTAACTTGAACAAGTTGTTGTGTAATTGCTTCCTGGCAATATCTGTTTTCCACCACTAGATGTCAGTGTTTGCATTAGTAGGAACAGCAACTCTCAGGACAGGAGACCAGTTTTTAAATATTCATGGTTAATACCTCCTTTTATTCTTGTGGGGCTTTGCTTTTCATATTTTGTTTATTTAATAAGTTACTTCATGATATGGTGAATTACAAAGCCATTTACTGGACTTTTGCTACAACCAGCAGAATGCCAGTAAAATTAAATGAGGCATCTTCATCAAAGTAATTCTTTTTACATTTTTTATTATAAGCTTAGCAGGACATATTTCGAAAGTAACGTGTTTATGCTCCAACTTTAATCACAAAGGCAAAACAACAACTTCAGCTACGAATTTTCTTTTTCAAAATATATCATAGCTATGAAACCCCATTAAACAGCTATCATCTCCCTCACCCATTTAAAGAGCAATAACTCCCTGTAACCTTTTCTGCTTCATTTAGATACCAATTTTAAAAAAATTAAGCCCCAACAACATCTGAATGGAATGATCCTGCTCCCATTTAAATCAAAGGGACTTTTACAATTGACTTCATTTGGAGTAGAACTGGTGCCAAACAGTGGTTAATTTACAGGACAGAGTTTTCGAAGGATCATTTCCCTCAGTCATATTATATTCTGGTAAATAACCCTCCCTGAGGGACTCTGCTGTTCTTTCATTGCTGTCTCTCAGCCAAGCAAATTAATACAAGAAACTGATGCACCTTCAAACCATCTTCTGTCGTCACTGAGGTTCTAAGAAAGATCTAAGAGTCCCACCAGCAACCACAGCGGGATTAGTGTCCTCTAAGCCTGTGGCTAATTTACAAAAGGCCAAGAATTTACATTAGGAGGGTCTGGTTTTGCTCATTCTCAGACTGGTGCAAATGAGAAGTAAGACTCTATGGAAGGTAGCTGAGTTACTGACATAAGACCAACGTTAGATCAGATTCAGGCCCAAGTTCTGTATGTTATTTCAAGACCATAATTAGCGAGACGTTATCTCCTCTTCTGGCTATTTCATGTCCCAAATATCCAGAGATATTAGGCCCTCCATAGAGAAAATGGCTAGAACTGGAGTAACGTGCTATGACAATAATGAAGTATCCTAGGAGCTTTTGCAGTGAGACACAGAGCAGGTGTCTTTCTCTACAGCAGACAATTAGAGAATATAGAGCTCTGAACATAGAGAATCCCTGTTTTAGTCAGATGCAAGAACAAGACCTCAGAGTGGTTATTTCAATGCTGATGAACCACATCTTCAGAGAACGATTTT